TATGGCGCCATACGCAGTCGATAATATACAAGCGACATGAAATGACGAAAACACCCTTGCGTGCAAGGCACGTGGGGCACCCAAACGGAGAAAACTAACGTCTCACGACAATAGGGGCTGGGCGGGTAGTATTTAAATACATGAAGGACGGTCCGAATTAATTTTCAAAAATAGGGACTGAGCGTGCAATCTGACACTTGGACCAGGGACGATTTGTGTAATTTACTCTAATACTTAAAAAGATGATGCTACTAAACGGCTCAGACTAACATCCATAATAATGAGCTAATAATATATATATTATGTCTGATTTTTAGCACATATATACTACAGAAGAGTTTGAAAATTTAGATATTTTGGCTTGGTGGAAAGAAAATAAATCTTGTTTTTGGATGTAAGCCATTATGGCCTATTATCTAATAACCGTCCAAGCTTCCACGTCAACATCAAAATCAGTTTTTTCTGTTAGTAGATGACATCTCCAAAAAGAAACAAACTCAACGCATATCGGTGGAGGTGCACATTTTCTTGGAAGACTATTTGGACGATATGAACCAGATACACAATAATGGGTAATGACCTGAAAACACCAAATATGAAGGTGGTGGAAACACTGGAAGTCTGGAACCGAGTACCACACCGTATATACGTATACGGTTCGGTTATTATACGACTATAGTTTGGTATTGGTACTGGTTCGAGTTTGAAAAATGGTCCAGATTGCTCATCCCTAATCAAAATTATCTCAACTATGAACTTTTCTTGGACCAATCTTTATTTTTATTTTTAACCTCTAAACATTTACCTATAATGGATGCCACGAAAATATCCTCGGTCACAATCCAGTACCTAATATGCATCCAAAATGGTGAAATTGAGAATTTTTCAGTTATAAACTTATGAGTTATTACCAAAATGATAATCTTTATAATGTTTTAACACTTTCAAATATTACGTATATCATACTACAAAACTAGCAAAATTACAAAAACATAGCCATCAAAAGATTTTATCTTTTGAGTCAACCAACCTGGCTGACATGTAGCTTGCGGTTTCTAAACTCGAACCATTAAAAGAAAACTGAATAATCGACTCATACAACGAGTCCTTTCTATAACCGAATATAATAAAATAATAATTAATTTTTCTAAAAAAACCAAAATGGTCGAGGCGTTCAAAAATTAAAATTTTCAAAGTTTCCATTGATTCTTTTTGTTTTTGTTTATCTCTCCCGTCTTCTTAATCTTACTTATCATTTCTTATCACCGTTCTTCTATTTTTGTTTCAAAATTTCACATTTTAATAAAAAATAGGTTTTTTCCTTCTCTATTCTTATTATATTATTTCAATGGATATCTAACATAAAAAAATTCGAAACTTGTGAACAAAATTGAAACTCAACCAAGACGCACAAGAAACAAGTTTGAAATGCATAAACAAAATTAAATCTCAACCAAGACATACAAAAAAACATGTTCGAAACTCAATCCAAGAACAAGTGCGTAACCCATGGTAGATAAAAAAGTTATTTGAACACCTAAATATAGAAAAAAAGGAAATGATTTGTTCATAACAATTTTTCTTCATACACAATAATTTATGCTTTATGAAGTTATACAATACAACACTTTAATGTACAAATTGTTATTTTTAATTTTTTTTTTATTACTAATCAGTTCCCTAAAAAGTTTCATAACCATTCTGCCAATTTTTTACTTAAACCAACCAAAGTAAACACTTGTTTACACCCACCTGATCGCAATAGATTACAAATAGATGCATCCAAATTCCAAATCGCAACCCACATGCTGCCATATCTTTTTCCGTGGCTACCAAAGTGAATCTAGACTTAAATGGTAATCAAAAATCAGTATCTTTATCTAATGTTCTAACGTAACACTGCTTTTCCCACGAACCACCTCACAGCCATCCATCTCACCCTCCATTTCCTTAAAAAAATTCCTGCGGTCCAAACAGCTTTTCGAACATTGTGGGGTCCACACCCACTCGTGACGATAGCACACTCCACCCGACCTCTCTCTCATTCGGCTTGTTTGTTCATTGTATCTTTCACTTCCTAATCCTATCACACACCGCATATTACATTGAAGACGAAGGTAAAGTTGAGAAATGCCAGGAATCAGATCACCATCTGACTATTCACAAGAGCCTCAACGTCATCCTGCTCTTAAAATTAACGCCAAGGCAAGCTATCCTTTTGATTTTTTTTCCCCAAAGATATTGCTCAAATCATAAAACCAAAATTAGAATCGAAAGCCCTAAGGATTTGGACAGATGGTGTATGATTATTGAGTACCGAATTGTGTTGCCCTTCGTTTTTGTGGTTTTGCTTTTACGACCATATGTCTTTGCTTAGTTCTATGGTTAATTGGTTATCCAATAAAAAAATCTGTGTTTTCAACGTATTAATCTAAGACGCATAATCGTTGGCTATATGCCTGATAATTAACATCAATGAATAGAAACGAACGAACAGTTATAAGTTATTTGAATTCAGACTCTGGAACGCATTTATACATCAGTAACTTTTGATTATATTCTTTTTTTTTTAACTATTAAGTTGTTTTCTAGTACAGCAGCCCTTCAATGCCGAGCCAAGACGCCAGGATTTGGTTTCTTCTTATGTGACACCTACGGAATTGTTCTACAAGAGAAACCATGGACCAATACCTGTTGTTGATGATATACAAAGGTCCTGAACTTTTCATCTTGACGCATACAATTATAAATTATTTATTGAGATAACTTGTAATGCTCTTATGCCACAAACAGCTATTGTGTCTCTGTTCATGGGCTAATTGAGAAACCCAAAGACCTGTATATGAAAGATATTATGTAAGTAAAAAAGTTGGGTTCTGTTTTTATCATATGATCTATATTCAGAATATTGATTTTAGGAAAACTGGTTTTGTTTTTTGAATTACATACAGGAATCTTCCAAAATATAATGTCACTGCCACTTTACAGGTATACCCTTTGGTTCGTGTTTAAAAATATGTTACTTGATTTGTTTTAACAGTCTTATATTTCCTGATGCAGTGTGCTGGCAATAGAAGAACTGCAATGAGCAAAACCAGAAGTGTAAGAGGAGTTGGGTGGGATGTTGCTGCCTTAGGAAATGGTATCCTTCTTTTTCTACTGATATGATGATATCTGAGGAAGGTCCTGCTTCTGGACAGCACATGACATTGAGACAAAAGACGTGAATGCCCTCCTTATCCTCATGATCGAAAGACAAAAGTAGTCCTAGAGAAGTTAAAGGCAACCTAAAGGGGCTTTCCCTAGCTGCCATTTTTAAGGAGCTTTCATCAACAGTTATACCTAAATTGTGTTTTGTTGTGTTTGTGTCAGCAATATGGGGTGGAGCAAAACTTGCAGATGTTCTTGAACTGGTTGGCATACCCAAGTTAACAAGTAGCACACCTGCAGGTGGCAAACATGTAGAATTTGTGAGCATTGACAGGTGCAAGGTCTGTATCATGTATTTACTACCTTCTGTTTACCTTCTTTTTTGAAGTGTTATTGTCTGTAATGGGATTCAGTGTTTGTTTCCATAGGAGGAAAAAGGGGGTCCTTACAAGGCGTCAATTCCACTAAGTCAGGCAACAAATCCAGAAGCTGATGTTCTGCTTGCTTATGAGATGAATGGAGAGGTACACGGGCTACAAACAAGTATTTAATGCTTGCTATTCATAATGTTTAACTACTTATTGACTTATTGGTTTGTGAAACTGTATTATTAATTTATTATATGAAGACTCTGAATAGGGATCATGGGTATCCACTGAGAGTAGTAGTCCCAGGGGTTATTGGTGCTCGTTCTGTCAAGTGGCTGGATACCATCAACATAGATTCCCAAGTCTGCCAGGTCTGCTCAGATTCATATTTACTTTTACTACTGTAAAATGTTTCTAACAAGACAGTGTATCAATCACTACTTTCCAGGGATTCTTTCAGCAGAAAGACTATAAAATGTTTCCACCAACAGTAAATTGGGACAACATTGATTGGTCTACCAGGAGACCACAAATGGATTTCCCTGTTCAGGTAGGTACTACTACTTTTCTATATTAATTAATAAAGTATTACCACAGCAAACAGGGAGTTGAAACTTGAAAGTGAAGTTAACATTATGATTTTTTTATACTATTGGCAGAGTGCAATATGCTCCTTAGAGGATGTGAATGTGGGGAAGAATGGAAAGGTTGGTGTTGCATTTTTTTTTAGGATTCACAGTCTGTATGTAGAAGAAGATTGATGATATGATTAAACATGCTGTGCATGCAGATAGCTATAAAAGGATATGCAGTTTCAGGAGGTGGACGTGGGATTGAGAGAGTTGATATATCGATTGATGGGGGTAAAACATGGATGGAGGCATCCAGATACCAAAAGCCTGGAGTCAAATACATTGCTGATGAAGAAAGAAGCGATAAATGGGCATGGGTACTCTTTGAAGCGGAAGCTCATATAAACTCAAATACAGAGATAATTGCCAAAGCAGTATGTCATCTCTGTCTATTACAACTTGTATGATTTGTTAATATGTTCACTAAACTTCTTTAAGTTTAAATATCAATGAGCAGGTGGATACAGCTGCAAATGTTCAACCTGAAAAGGTTCAAGACATCTGGAACTTGAGGGGAATTCTAAACACATCATGGCATCGTGTTCATATACAAGTTAGGCATTCAAGCATGTAAGGTGAATGAATCAAAATACATGGCAATAATATGACCAGGGTGGTAAAATATCTACTAGTCTGTGAAACTTTTTCTTCTATTTCTTGGGTTTTGTAACATAAAATTAATTTCTTGGTAATGTACGTTTTGATTGAATAAATGTACAAGAATTGATTAATAGGGATTGTTTGATTGTCATTGAGCATTTTGAAAAAAGTTCAACTTCCAAAACTGAGAGCACACAACCAAACTTTCAAATGTGTCCAACATCAATGAACTAAATTTACTTGAAAAAAACTACATGGTTTTTGATGTTCCAAATTGGTTGTTCCACTCTTCATATTTGCCAAGTTCCTTCTGAGAAACAGAAGGTCTCACCTCCTGTAGTGCATCCTTAAAGTCCTATAAAAATTAGAGACAACATACAAACAGAAGATTAGTCTATTGTAACATACTCCCAATGAGGTATGAAAGTTGAAAATCCATGCTGATCGATTTCAAAGTGCTTACCTGTAGAGTAACTGATCTCATATCCTCCATTTTAAGATTAGTAATCTCAGCTCCTTGTTTCAAAACCTCTCTGATTGGACCCATGGAAGCATCTTTGACTAAATTCGTCATATCAGATCCTGAATACCCTAAAACAAATCAAAGTACAAGGTAAGAGTAAGACAAACATCAAATTGAGGAAAAAGAAAGGTAAAAAAGAGTAGAGATGATACCATCTGTTAATTTGCATATGGTATCAATATCCTCTGTTGAGAGTTTAAAAAGCCCATCCTTGTTTAAAAGATTATGGACTATCCAGGCTCTTGCTTCTATACACGGAAGACATAATTAGCCTTGTATAAGTATTAAGTAGCATATATAAGGAGTTAATTTTAAAGAAAAAAAAAAGATAAATTAAAGTTGCACCTGCAGAAGGGAGTGGAATATAAAATCTCTTGGTCAATCGCCTCCTAGCTGCTTCATCTAAATCTTGTGGTCTATTTGTTGCTCCTTCAAATTGTATATATGATCACAAAGCAAATGGAAATAAGATAAAACTTTACAAATGGGATTTTTCACTAAAAATGAAAGCTCTTTATCTGCTATAAACTTTATTTGTCTGAAAAAGGTGTCTCAAGTACATAACAGCATCAATTCAACACTTTGTTGACATTTTGTGAACCTATTCTTTTCAGGGCTAAGCCTAAGAAATAGCAGTGTACTTACATCTATTTCTGTATCATAGTATCATCCTTTAATTTCTTTCTATAACAACATTAGACTGAATTTTACCTTTCTTTTCCTCACTTTGAAAAATCTACTCAATTATAGCGTTGTACTAACAAATTTTCTTTTCAAGGTATTATATTTTGAAAGATCTACCTAATTATAGCAATGCAAATAATTGCTTTGGATTTAAATCAATATTTCATTCTATAGGTGAGTAAAAATTTCAAATTACAGTTTTATAGAAATTAAGTATTAAAGTTGGATGCTAAAATATATAAACCAATGGATGCTAGAGTTTATTCACCTATGAGTAGAATTTGTTCACTTCCACTGTCGAATCCGTCCATTTCAATCAGAAACTGCGTCTTAATTCGCCTGCTTGCCGCATGCTCAGAATTTGAATTACGCTGCAATGGTAATTAATTAAGTTGAAATAAAAAGGAAAGTGAATCCTGTAATTAGACTAAATCAATCAGAGTATTCGAATAAAATCTAAATGTTACATATACCTGGGACAACAGTGAATCAATTTCATCCACAAATATTACTGCTGGCTGACGACATCTGGCAACTCCAAAAAGAGCCCGAACAAGCTTTTCACCCTCTCCCACCTATACATATATAGTCATCATATCTTTAATAAATAACCTTTTTTTTACTTGAATATAACCATAAATTAGTGCTACAAATCGATCACATATATACCCATTTGCTTGTTATTGAACTTGCGGATATGTAGAAAAATGTTGCTTTCGACTCTCCAGCAATAGCTTTACCTATCATCGTTTTACCTGTTCCCTATATATATATATATATATATTATATATATATATATATATATATATATATATATATATATATATATCAAGAAAAAGATATATATAAGCAAGTCAAAAGAGTTGACTTTTTTTTACTGTCATAACCGATATCTACTAATACTAATGTTGAACTTACTGGGGGGCCAAATAAAAGAAGTCCTCTTCCTGGAGAACGACAACCTTTGAAAATATCAGGGCGTAACAAAGGCCATATCACCATCTCATTTACACATTTTTTCGCATGATGCAATCCAGCTGTAATTAAGATGACAATATATTAAAATCTTATTTATTAATAAAGATAATTAAAAGTTTATGAAACATGAAAAAACCCAAACCAATATCATCCCAACAAACTTTGGTATTACAATCCATTATCTCATTACTAATCTGCTCAATAAGGCGAGGGTCTATATTCCTCAACTTCTGCGAAAGTTGACCATCAGGACCACGTAGCCATTCCAACTTCCTCCGAAGCCCTGGGATCATACCAAACACCCGAAATACGTTCCGAAGTGCCCGAAAAACCCGAGAAATTTATCTTTTCGGTTTGAAGCTCAATCTTCGCAGAGCCCGGTTTTCAATAAATCTCCCGGTTTTTATAAAAGAAAGCTATTTATAGGAACGACGTGCTGCACAAATTACTATTTTAACCCCCGGTTATTTCACGGTGATTTCAATATATAAGAACAATTGTATGTTATGTGTTATATGTGCTTAGGGATGCAAACGGGTCGGGGATTCCGCGCTACCCGTGGGGACCCAACCTGAACGGGTCAGAGATTCCCCGTCTTAGCGGGTAACGGGTCGGGGATGGGGATTCAATATCTTACCCGAAACGGGGACGGGGCGGGGACGGGTATAATACTATCCGAGCCGTTTAAAACCCGATATATATATATATATATATATATATATATATCCGAAATCAGTTTCAATTTTCATTAAATACTATTTAATAAATAGGTTTCAGTTTAGAGCACATACATAGGGATGCAAACGTTTTCATCTCTTCCAGAGTTAGAGTGACTCTTCGTTCTTTCCTTTTCACAGAATCAAGATTCAAGACTTTAATATGCTCACTTTTCAATAATCAAACTCTATATTTAATTCAAGGCTACACTTCTCTTTCTCTAGACGATAACCAAGAGGGAAAGATTAGCGATTACAATGAACGATTATCCTCCAATTGATCAGTGAGTTTCTTTTTCTTACTAAACTTTTTTTTAAATCGATTTTGTGTAATATGTGTTCTGTAATCGATTTTGCGTAATCGTTTTTCTGTAATCGTTTTTTATACTTATATTCCTTAACTATTAAAATCGATCTTCTATTTAGTTTGATCTTTTTTTTTCTATAGTAGATTTCTGTTTAAATCAACATAATTACTTGATTATTATATGTTTCATATGAATTTCTTGTTTTCTTATTTTCCTAATATTAACTTAATGTAATCTGTTTGATGTGCTCTCGTATTGTGACTCAAGATCAACAATTATTTTGTGTAATTATAGTTACCTTATATTAACTTTGTTGTAACTTTTATTCATTGACTATTAAGTGAACATCCTCTGTTATGTCAATGTCTTAATTTCTTTTTAATGCATTGTAATTCTTATTTTATGTATTATAGTTCCTGAATTTTAATAATTTTTTTTATAGTGACAATCAAGATCAACAACCCGACAACCAAAAAGAAAATTGACTTATGCAGTTTGGAGTCATTTTAAAAAGCAAAAGATTGATGGATTTGATAAAGCTTTATGCAACTGTTGCAGGAAGCAATTAAGCGGAAAAAGCAAGAATGGAACTACACACTTGCTTAATCATTTAGAGTTTTGTGGATCCAAGTGTTCTAGATTTTGATACTTAGATTATGAATATTTGTAGTCGATGAAGACCAAAGATTATTTTTTTGAACAAGATCCTAAGAGTGAACTTTATAATTGTTGTTTTTAATTTCTTAACAAACATAAAACTGTCATGATTTTTAGTATTTTATCATGTATGAGAATGAAGTAAGAACTTTTGTAAATTTTATTTGTCATGATTATTTTTTTTTTGATTTTTCATATTTTTTAGATTTGCAAAAGCAATTGGATTTTTTTATACGAAACGGGTATCCATCAGGTTCCCCGTATCCGATGTGGATTTTTTCACCCGAACCCGTCGGCGATTTGGCGGGGCGGGGGCGGGGATGGTATGGGGAATTGATGTCGGGTACGGGGACGGGGATTACAGTCCCCGCTAATATCCGCCCCCGTTTGCATCCCTATATGTGCTATGTGCTTTTCAGTGTTATTATTCCGAGTTATTTTCCCGTGTTATTTTTATTTCTGCTATTTATGATAGCAAAGCTATACCTTTGACCAAGTGATCAATGAAAGGACTTAGATTCACGGTGGTACTGATACGTAGCCTCTGGCCATGTAGAGCATGTCTCCGTAAGAGAATGACTTCTATTCTATGACATTGGCAGATGGTTAGACAGGGCTATAAGCCTGAAATCTACCAAAAATGTTTAAATCAGAAAGTGTATGTCTTCTGTGCCATTTGGGCCGAAGCTTTATTGATGTATATCAAGTATAGAAATTGTCATGTCTCATTGATCGTATATCTTTGAATCAAATCATTGATTGATATGGAAAGTTTGTCACATGATTCACATATGCCTTTGTTATTTGTTGTTCCTCTTTGCTTCTGCCATATTGAAGTATATATATGACATAACGTTATATTGTATCTATTATTGAACTCACTAAGCGTCACCGCTTACCCCTCTCAATGTTTAACAAATTGCAGGAGATAAGTAACCAGTATAATCGTATACTGTTGGAAGATTATTGTACTCATGTATGTATAACTTATAGTATCCTGGGAAGCTATGTAACATATACAAATTTGTAATAGACGGTTTGTATCCAGTCTTATGTAAACAAGTTATCAATGTAAAATATTGTTTTTTTTAATATGCAAGTAGCATGTTTTGGAGTAACAATTGTCGAGTATGAAAGTTTGGGTCTTTCAGAAATACGAAAGTTTAGAAATGGGTTCTTTCAATATATATCAAACTAATTGATTATTATATATATAATTAATTTCAAGTATGCTTATGAACAGAACCCCCAAGCCAGTCGGGTACTGTTCATCGGATTGCGACTGAGGTTTGGAGCCGTCCAGATTTTCAATCAACTTCTACGCCACCGACCCATATACTTCCCAAACTTTTCCATAACTATTCCACCTGAAATCGGTGTGAAAAGGTTGTGGTGGTGAGGAGCAGCGCCGGTGAGGGAGCAGAATCTCGAGTATGAAATCGGGATTAAGGGTTTAAGGGTTAAGGTAAGGTTCTAAATTACCAGCAACATATTTAGGGGTTATACTTATCGATTTGTAGGTCAAGCTTCATGGAAGTAAATCGATGATATCAGAATCATATTCATCAACTTGCTTCTTTAATCGGAAGTCGTGGCTCCAATTTCCAGCCGATCAGTTGTGAACAAAAAGAGTAAAGCCGATCATCGGAGTTTTCACACCGATTTTTGGAAACCCACGTCCCAATTTGGAGATTTTCTTCTCTGAAATTGGAATGGGTACCTGTGGTTCGTCTTCAAGATCCTTCATCAGCTCCCAAGCATTGATGATCTCTGGCTGCCCTTGGTGGGACCTTCTCGAGGGCGTTATCTTCTATTGCAACGACGTAATGGGTGGTCATGGTTGCTTGTCTTTTTTGAGTTTCAAAGCACCATAGGTTGAAGAAGTGAGGGAAACAACATGGTGGCTCTCATTTTTGAGATTTTTCTTGATGTGTGTAACACCCCGTTTTCACTCTACAATAGAATTTAATATAAATCGGTCATTTATAAAATTTGGAATATAGATAGGTTGCTTATTAGTCTTATTAATCTAAACGAAAGTCATAGTATTCATAAAGCGAACCCGTATATATAAAGAAGGCCCAAATCTGACTTAGCGAGAGGAAGTTATGATTTTTCGAATTTTCAGCATAACAGTGTGCAAAACAGAAACTTGAAATTTAATTGGCCGATTGTTAGGAAAAACAATCTAAACAAGAGTTTAAGATCTCATCAATACCTATCATTCGATATGAAGACAGTCGAGAACAGATATCATATGAGAGAGTTATGATTTTTAAATGGACTTTAACAGTCTAAGCCTATAAAAATATAACTTTAAAAATAAAGTGAAAATTAACCGACGGAGTCTAAACGAAAGTTGTAGATCTCATCGATAGCTACATGTGGTTGTAAAATACATCGAAAACGAAGCTCGTGTGAAGGAGATATAATTTTTTAAAGATTTATAAAAAATTCGCGCGCAGGCGCGCGCGCCGACGAGGTACGCGGCACACCTATGGCATACCACAATATCACGCCACGTGTCACCACCCAGACGATGCCACGTCAGCACCCCGACCAGGTGGGTGGCGCACACCCGACCATCTGTGCGGCGCGCCTTCTGAAATTCGCTATAAATACCCCCTTTGCCTCATTATTTCACTCACACCAATCCTTCTCTATATTTTTCTCTAGTTCCGATTTTTAAGGAGTTTTTCCGAGCTCTGGGCAACCTCATATTTAGCTAGGCTCTGAGGCATATAGTCAGGTAAAAAGAAGTGTTTGGTATCGGGGTCCTGTCCGCGACTTTTTCCAACTTTCGCTAAGAATCTCTGTAAGTGAAGCTATGCTTACTAGGCTTTTAGGATAACTTATAATCGTTATTAGGAACCTATAACTGCTAGATTTGTCAGTAATTCCAATCATAATATTGATTGATGTGCTTTTGGAGAGGTGTCTTGAATGGTTGTGTTGACTTGGTTGTTGGATTTCAGAAAAGCTATACGCCGAAATGATCCTGCCTCCCAACTGTCCTGGCTGGCTGATCCTTATTTGATAGAACTATTGGTATTCTTTGGGATTAGTGAAAGGTGTAGCCTACATTACTAGATTGCCATAGGAACTAATAAGCTATAGCATTCTAGGTTAATACTTGTTAGATGTGTTACCCGTTATGCCGGAGGGATTGTTGTCAATCGTTTGAGTAACTGTCCAGGTGAGTTATCTCACTATACTATGTGTTACAATATATATCCATGTATGTTAGTACATAGGAGTTAGTAGAGTAGAGCCGATAGTATATCCTCTATGTGTCTGTATCAGTTGAACTTAAGGTGTAGTCTCTATGTATGGTTATGTATGTCGTGCAGGGCATGTCATGTAGTTTGGGTGAGGTCCGTTATGCATGTTGGGCGGGGCCCATTAGGTAATCGTGCCCATTATGTAGTTTGGGTGGGGCCCATTTGTATGCATGTATATGTATTATGGTATATGGTATTTTGGGGAACTCACGAAGCCTAGCGCTTACCCACTTGTTATTAAATGTTTTTTATGTACTTTATTGATACATGAGAAGGACAAGGTCCGACTATACACATGCGCATTCACAACATGTTTCTGAACAATGTAATCATACTCTTATATATTTCAATAAATAAAAATGAAAAATTTTCCTTTGAAAAACCGGGACGTTACAGTATCAGAGCCCTGTTTGAGTGAACTGGAAGAGCACTCGTGGGATTCCATACTCAAAATAAGGATATGAGTAATTAATAAATCTTTTCATAAAAAGAATAATACAAAAAGTAGATAATACGATGCGTATAGTTAGCCAAAGCTCAGAAAGGAAAGTGATTCCCAAAATATCTATATTGTTATGATTACTTATATGTGAAATGTTAGAAATGTGTGCTAGTATATAGGCTAGGGATCTTTCAGGAATTACCAGTTAGAGATTACCTGATGCTTAAAGATGCCTTATAGCCTAGGGATTTTCTTGTTATTTGCTGCTTAGAACCTATGTTGATATTAATTGGTTATTTGACAAATACATTAGGATTCATGCTCCAAGAATTAAATAGTTTTAGGTTGCCTGATTCGGCGTTATTACACAGCTCTCATTTGAGTCTAACCGTCGTGATGTCGGATCTTT